GGGTGAAAGCGACCGAGGACCAGCGCACACACATTCGTCCGTGGTCAAGCCAAGCGCCGGTGAGAATTAAAGGGCATTTAAAACACGTCCTCTCAAGCAACGGGTTACAGAATATAGGCGTGTGTGTGTGTGTGTGTGTGTAGTGCACGAGAAAAAGAGTTAGCGCGCCGAGTGAGGGTAAAAACAGAGAGATAGAACTAGATCCAAACGCGCATTTAGCTACACTTTTGAACATACTTAAATTACCACTCATATGCTGAACACAAATTCAAACTGTGAGTAGCAGCATACGTCCTGATGGGACAGTTATTCACCGATCACAGTGTTTGCTGGTTGCATTTTTGATCTGCCGCTTACTGCGAAGAGCGATCTTTGTTCGGGCTTCAAGTGTGCAAGCCGTTTGACACGTTTTATTGCACACATTTGTGTGTGATGAATAGTAGACGGGGTGGACCCCGCAGTCACGAAGAGCTGCTATTGTTCAGTGATGGAAACCGGCAAACTAAGTCCCGGGCGGACTGAAGTGGCCCCGCTAGGTTAAGTGTGGCATGGAACCGGACAAGTGATCAGTTACCCCCCCCCCTACCTCCCCTCCTCTGCTCCATCTACAGTAACAACGAACTCCTGATCGATCATGAGCATTGCACTTCATAACCCATAAAATGGTGTCATAAGGGTGGTTTGGTCAGACACTATGAATCACATTCCGTCCGGGTAGGTTACCGAAAAAGAGCACGCAAGAAAAAAACATCTGTCCACGGATGACTTACGCGTGCATCGAAGATTAACCTTATTTTCGTCCGAGCTATCTATGCGATAATCATTCATGCACGAAGAATCAAAGGTGTGCTGAACGGTTCTACACTGTAAAGTGTAGATGGGGGGAGTAGCCACCAAGTGTGAACACGAATGAAAACAATCAGGGCACCAGACATTCGAAGACGGTCACGGGAGAAATCAACACAGACATTTAGTCAGAGTATGACTTAACGCATCGTTCTAGTCGAGTAAAGAGGATCCATAATGTGCTAAGCAGATAGTACAAAATCAGGATCAGTGTTAGTCAAAGGTGACCCATCCAGCCACTTCTGATTAATTTCTTCTTAGACGAAATATTACGGAACACATCAGGTGGCCTACAAAATGTGAGCATTGAATTGGTAATTGGATTCAGAGTACATCGATCACAACACTGTGCAAACCGGGCTTGACAGACAGGGAGATTGTTGCTGCATTCCGCTGCATGTCCTTGACACGTTCAAAGCGCCACTTGTTACTGACAGACTGGGGGTTTCGACGAAATCCATTGCGAAGAATTATGATCAGGAATCGAGTGAAGTTGTTTGTCTTTCTATTTAGATTTTTGCGATGGTTAACCCCATTAAGGCAGTGACCGCACGCATAAACAAGGAGAGAATAGCATGGATTCAAACACCCATGGCATCGGAGTGACACTGCACTGTAAATTAAACATCACGTACGCTGACACTGCGGTTAATCCGTTAATCTCAGTGCTGGTTTCAAGCTACCAATCAATCTATGGAAAGGAATTAGTTTTTAATCGAGTATTTTAAAACGGTGAAATCGACTTTTATCGACTTTTCGGAATCAGAGTATTACGGGATATTAATGTACCAGGATATTGCGAGTTTGGTGGCGCTTAGTGAAGTTCAATTCGCAATATTGCGCTGTAAAATTATGATGATGATGAATAATAAGAGGTGACGAAAAGCTAGCCAGTTTATTTTGTGGTTGAATGGGCCACTTTGCGAGGGAGGCAAGATCTGTACCTCTAAACAGAACACAGTGTAAAAAGAGATGGACCATCACATCACATCAAATGATGCACACCCATTGGACCCATTGGACCGGAAAAAAACGACAAATATTAACGGACTAGATTAGATCTGATATTTTCAAATCAGGTACGATAAATGACGCTTTCAGTTTGATCGCAAGTCACTCACCCGTTCATTGTTCTCGAGGATGGATCAAGAATGATACGAATCAGACTGGCCACCACGAGGGCTCGATCCAATCCTTTACGACTGTGTACGAGTACAAACGAACCACGTAGTTTAGCTTCCTCGCGTACGGGGGCCGATTCGCCTGGATTGTTCAAACCCTGTCCACGCAAATCTTTGTACTTCTGGGCGAGCAAACACTGCTCCTGTTGTAGTTGTTGTTGAGCGAACGCATCACGCGCATCCAAAGCAGTGGCACCGGCTACTGCAGCCGCAAGCGCTTCACGAACTAAGGAAAGCCAAGCAGCTGTTCGTCGCAAATTCCCGGCCGAATGACTACCGGTAACATTCAGGCCGGTCGTAGACAGACGATTCGATGAATTCCCGGTTGATCCGACAGGCACAACAGTATCTGAGTCGAACAGTGATTGTGGTGGGGCAGGTTCGAATGTGAGAATTGTTCGTTCCGAGCCGCTACTGTTGTCCACTTCGCGTGTGAACTGACCGGCACCAAGGCTAGTTAGTGTCGACGACGAAGAAGAGCCCGGTAATCCAGACGGACCGAGGGCAGCAGCAGCAAGCACGCTGATAGAATCGCTCAACGAAGTCGGATTGATCACAGGGAATGAGCTATTCACATTTTTTGTGGCTCCACGGGTGCTGGTACAAACTGCAGCCAAAGGATCAGAACAACTGACATAGATGAAATCAGAGTTGACCCATACTATGATATGTTCAGATAACGCGTTCAATTGTCTGGGTATTGCGCTACGGGTGAGTAATGTTTGATTGAAATAACAGTTCGACTATCTGATCTAAGTTTATGATAAAAAGGGCAAAAACAGAACTTAATGATAACCAAGATGTGATCAACGTCACCGTTTGTTTTTAGAGTGAGTGATTCGGCTGCATCTTTATTTACAATATTTTGTAGAAAGGTACAAGGCGGCCTATTGAGAGTAAACGGAGTTTCAAAACCACGGTGAATAGACGGAAGAGATTTCTAATGTCTGATTTGGTGTCTATGAAGGAAATCTGTCCGATTAACCGTCAGTCATGGACCTCCGGGTTTCATTCACATCTGTTGAATGACTGATGAACTTCCACAGAGTCATT